GGCTGACATCGCAGTGCTAGGATTCTTGGTGCAGCATGTCAGGTTGGATTTAGCTTTTTTCATATTCTTGGCTCTGGTGATCCCCAAGTTTTATTCTAAAGTAGCTCCCAATGGGAACACCGTTTTGGGATACCAGTGGGCTACTGCAGGCTTGATTGGGCTCTTTATCATTGGAACACTGTGTTGAGATATTTACTTTGTCTGCACCTGTGACACTGACCATGCCTATTTGGGGTGGGGACAGGGGCAGACATTACCTGGGGGAACTAGGTCTAGGGAAGGGTCCAGAACTCTCTCTGGCTTGCAGCATGGGGATAGAAGAACATCTGGAGGCATCCTTGGGACCAGGAACCTGCTGGCATTCATCTGTCTCTGTTGTAAGTTAATTCTCCCTGAATAAACAGCATATTTGTTTTTCCTAATCCTTAGTAGACACATTAGAACACCTCTAGAATGGCCAGGAAACTTCTACTTCAGTTTCTCTTAAGGTCCACACACAGGCAAGGAATACCATTCATCCATTTGAGTGATTACATACTTTTTTTATTCCATTTTTTCTCAATGTAGAGATTGCACCCAGAGATAAATGCATGCTAGTCAAGTGCTATACTACTGAGCCACATCTTCAGCCATACATCCTTAGCTACATTCCATGCCATCTAATGGCTCTAAGAGTCAAATGCAAAACCTTAGCATTGCACAATTGTGCTTCATAATAATGTCTAACAACATTTCATTGTGTGTTTTTTTTTTTTATTCTGCTTTTGAAACTCCAAATCTCTTGAGTCACTAATAGAAATCCCAAGTGGATAACTCCCTTTGTGACCTCAGACTAGGCCTGCATTTGCTACTTCTATTTAAATGGGATGTGCTTCCACCATCAATATTTATCAGTCAGCTACCTAAGTATACCTGGAGATTTGATCTAGTATATTTCAAGGTCAGCATAGGCCTGTTCTCCCTGAGGTACTATCTACAGATAAAAACAACCAAATGAACAAAAACAAAAACATTTTTCCTGGGTGTACCAATGGCACCCTAAATGTTATCTACCATTAGCTTGCAATCCTGAGTAAATAATTGGTGAATTTCACATTTCGTATAGTTGTAGTCTGGTTCGTGGACTATTATATTATATAATTTTATTAGTTTTTGAGTACTGGCAAGTAAAAACAAATAATTTTTTATGTACCATTTCTGTTAGTAGGCATCTATGATATATCCCAAAGAGTTTCTTGTGCCAAAATTGGGTTTAATTTCATAGGTTAATATTCATCTCTTTACATAAAATGGGATGTGTAAGGAGTATGGGTTTTTCCTCTCGCCGCCAGGTCTAGTCCTGCTGCTACGCCAGCCCCAAATAATACACAGAGACTCTGTATTTGATACAATGCTGTTGGCCCTGTTACTTGTTTCTTATCGGCTAGCTCTGCCTTAATTATTAACCCATTTCTGTTGATCTATGTATTTTCACATGGCCTTCTCTTACCGGGGAGGTGGCTGGCGTCCAGCTCTCTCCAGACTCTCCATCTTGACTCCTCCTTACTACTTCCTATTTCCTCCTTGTCTCCTAGTCCCTCCTATCTTCCTTTCCTAATGGCCAACAGTGCTTTATTATTAACCAGTATGAGAAACATATACAGAATGACATCTCCCATCAGGGATGATAGAAAACAACAAAATCAGCAAAGATTATTAAGCCCTTGCTCTATAATAGGAGTATACTTGGGGTGGGGTCTCAGAATTAAACCTAAGAGCTCACATCTACCAGAGTTGGGCTCAATCACCTATTAGCTAACCTTCCTTACCACTCACAACATGACCAGGGTAGCCTGGATCATTCTCACCTTAGGATCTCAAGAGGCTGTGATGATAGTTTCGGTACTACAAGCCAATGATGCCAGGAATTTTACACAAGTGTGTGTGTGTGTGTGTGTGTGTGTGTGTTTTCTAGGAAACCTTATTTTTGTGCTAAAATAAGTGTAGACATGGTTCTAGAAGTCTTGAAGGGATAACTGACTCTTAAGTAATGCCTCACCTATGAAAAGCATATTTAAATTCAGTCATCTGTACCTAAGTCACAGAAACAAAGTGATGGCAGAAGAAGGGTGAAGTTGGGAGATTCCAGGCAGATGTACTGGCATGGGTGTAGGTCTGAAGAATTTAGTTCAAAAAGGAAAAGGGTTTCACATTAGACCTATACACAAGGTAAAGTGAATCTTCAATTAAAACAATCCTGGGCCACAGTTTTTCATCTTTTATAGAAACATTATTTTGAAGTCCCAAGATGGAGTATCGTATATTTGAAATAATAGAAAATACTACTATGTCAGAACTTTCTATGTCTTTACTGCAACCACAAGCATTTGTACAATCACACATGAGGTATCATGTGAGTCCACATTGTGTGTCGTACATTCACATGCGTGTGTAGTGCCCATAGCCATGCATGTGCATGTAGATGCTTGAACAGGAAATTCCTTCTATTTATTGGTTTTTCTCAGTCACTCAGACCTTGAGGCAAGGTCTCTTACTATCCCAAAAGCTTGGCCATTTAGCCTAGGCTGGCCTTGTGACAGGGCTTTCTGGGTCTTCTTTTCTCCATTCCAATGCTGTGGTTGTTATATGTATGTTGTGGCTGACCCTGCTCAGATACCCCTTCGGGTAAGAGGTGAGAAGATGCAGGAATGAGGAGTCAGTAGCAGAGCGTGCTACAGACTCCTTTATTAAGGAAGTTAGGCCTGCCTTTACACCCCCCTCCCAAGGTCCCATTGGCAGCAAACTCTGTTGCCTTGTCCTTTCCTCATTAGCATCTCTGGTCAGGTGGCTCTTCCTTAGCAGTCTGTGGGAGTAGAGGCAGGCTAGGCTCAGGGAGGATGTGCCAGCATCACATGCTCATGTTGCTCATGTGGCCTGCTTTGGTAGACTGGCTGGCAGTTTCTCCTACATATGCACGTGAAGCTGCCCCAGACTTTTTACAGAGGTGATGGGAACTCAAACTCAGTTCCCTCTGCTTCAAAAGGAAGTCTCTTACCCACTGAGCCACTTCCTTAGCACCCCCTTCCCCATTGTCATTCTCATTGCTCATGGCTTGAGATCTTGTCTGAAGAGGCCACCTGTGGATTTGTGCACTATCTCGGTGTTGGAAGACTAAGAGCCATGCCTATGGACCGGCAGTCTCCATAATATTTAACTAAAACGCTCACCTTCTGCATTTGTTCAAGCTATTTCTAGTGATGCAAAATGTTCAAATTCGTGTTACAGGTTTCCTTGAGTGAAATGATAAAAGCCTTATTAGGAAGTGTCTGCTTCCTGGGAGAAGAAAGCAGGATTTAATGTTTAGAATATAGATTTTGAATTTCAGGCCATGTATCAATCAGAGAAATCTTACTGACAGTGATGATAATAGGCCCATGAGGAGACTACTTTTGTAAAAATGAAGAACAGCTGAGCTAGCGAGGCCTCAGACTCTCGGAGTCGGGAAAATGAATTCAAATGAAAAGAGTTTTCAGAATGCCCCCAAGACATTGATTAATTTACTTCTTTCAAAGACTCTGTAGCTCTTTGTACTTCTTCCTCCCTTTCCTTCCCTATTCTAACCGTATTTTTATTTTCTTCTTCCATGCCCCCCTTTTCTTTTCATTCCACAATTTACAGTTTTACTATTATAGGACAAATAAATGGTTAAAAATAATGACTCTAGTAGTTTTATTTATTGTGTTCACCTTTGTGTGTGTGGGGGGGCATGCATGGGCTTGGTGTCCCTGTGTTTTATTTATGAATGTGATTATTGACATTATCAGGCTGTTGTCACATTTGGGGAAACACACAATTTTTTATGAGAAAATATGAGACATACTTTAGGGGATTTACATAAAAATAAATGCTTGTTTACAGGAAATGCTATCACTGTTGTGAGTAGGGTATATTTAGCAGGAGTGGCTTCTCAATTGGGTCTTTGAAAAGAGTCTGGGAGACTACAATGAAGCTGGAGCAGAGCATTCTAAACTGGAAGCAGAACCATCGAGAAGCTCACCCATGAGTGTGTAATGGATGAGGCACTTGGCAAAAACTTTTAATGTGTTTGAAGATTAGGCAGTGAAATGGGATGAGGCCTGTCGTTTGCAGGCTGAAGCTCCCTGGGGATCCCTGAAGTGATGTGCACTTTTGAACTTTGCATCTTCAAGGATGCAATGTTGACTGACTGGGGGGTGGTATGCTACAGTACAGCATATGACTCCTTTCTTTATAGAAATTGAACCAATTAAATTTCTTTGAATCCTGCTTAAAATAAAGCACAAATACAGTTATGCTTAAGTGATCCTATTCTATAAAAAGTCTGGGTCTAGCGTGTGATTGCATGTCTTATTTATATAACAGAATAATCCTTTATATTCAGTATGGTGTCTGAGCAGTATAAAATAGGTTTTCTTTTTACATTAAAATATGGATTTAGGACATATTAAAACATGTGGTGAACCTACATTTCTTCCTGGTTACATAGGGCCAACACAGCTGAGATCAGTCACTCTGCTACGGGTGTTTTGAATTGGTTGTGACACACTATGTCAACAAAAGTTCATATATTTTGTAAATTTCAAGTGACAAACTTTAATTAGATCTGTTTGCTCAGTGAATCGCTGTGCACATCAACTATCTAAAGCAGGACGCCTGGCATCTTCCTGCGCATCAAGTCTGATGCATTCCATGTGCAGATCTAATGCACATGATGATAAAGGTGCATGCATTCCATGTGCAGAGCATACTTCTAAGTCTGAGCAAAAGGACGCAGCCTGGCCTTGATCAAATAAATGGTACATTGTTGTTTTTATTTCAAGTGGAAATTTTATTGTCATACTCTATACATAAATAGAGTGGATATATTCCCAGGATTATGGTCTTCTTAGAAACCTGTGGACGTTAACATTCTGTGAGCTCACAGAGATATATATGAATTATTAATGTCAAGTGTTTCTTTTTATGTTTCTCCATTTTTTTAGGTCTGTGATGGGGTCTAACAAAGAACCAGACCTTGTGCATCTCGAGGCCAGGACCATAGATGGCCGTAAGTAAATCAATTGTGTTGTGATGGCCATAGTGTTATTAGTTCTGTCATTTGGTCCTTATCCAAGTCTGTAGCTACAGCAGTGATCATTCTTATCATTTGGTGGTGTAGACCTTTTTTGTGTCTATTAGACCAGGATTTGCTTAACAATTTTATGAGCACATGAATGTTCATAGATTATGCCATGGCAGACATTTCTAATACTGTGGATTTTCCTGAGGACAGAGTGAAATGCATGTGGACATATAGGTTACTCATTGCTATTGATCTTTTCTATTTCAAATCAAAATATTTATCTCATGTGTGTGAGTGTCTTGCTTTCATGAATGTGTGCCATGTCTGTGCTTGGTGCATATGGAGGTCAGAAGGAAGCATTGGATTCCTTGGAGTTAAGAATAGTTGTGTACTGTTGAGCTGATTATCTTTATGTCAATTTGACACAAGAAGAGTCATCAGAGGGGAGGGAGCCTCAATTGAGAAAATGTCTTCATAAGATCAGGCAGGGTGTAGCAAGCTTGTAGGATTTTCTTAATTAGTAATCTTTTGGGGGGTTATCCCATTGTGGATGCAGCCATCCTTGGGCTGGTGGTCTGGGGTCTATAAGAAAGCAGGCTGAGAAAGCCATGAGGAACAAGAAAGTAAGCAGAATCCTCAATGGCCTCTTCATCAGCCTGCCTCCTGGCACCTGCCCTATGTAAATTCCTACTCTCACTGCTTTTGCTGATAGACTGTTATATGAAACTGTGAGTGAAACAAACCCTTTCTTTCTCATGTTGCTTTGGTCATGACATTTCATCATAGCCTTAGTAACCCAAACTAAGACCAATTGGTAGCAGGATAGTGGAGTATTGCTGTGACAGACTTGACCATGTGTTTTGTGGAGGGTGTGGAAATACTTGTGAATTTTGGGTTAGAAAAGCCATTGAGTTTTGAGAGGTCATGAGGTGTTCTGTAGAAGTGCGGAAGATAAGATTGTTGAGAATAGTTCAGATGATAGAGGCCTGGTTTGAGAAGTTCCGGAGGGAATCAATGGTCCCAGCAGGCTTTGTCTGTGAAGAATCTGTGGTGTCTGGTCAGCTGGCATAAAAAGAAGTGACTGCGGTTAACACGATACCAAAACCACTAATGTAAAACCTTTGCTTTGCTGGGACAACATATGCTGGTAAGCTCTGCCTGAAGACTCAGCTGTGATTAAGAGACCAGCACCACTAAGGTGAAGTCTTCTGTGAAGGGTAGCCTGAGGGTTAGCACACAGAACCTGTGTTTCAGAAGCATCCCAGATTGTACCTCATGCTCGCAACTTCACTTATTACCATAAGAGTCACCCAGGTGGTACTGCTTTTGAAGTCATGAAGGGGCCATGGAGAGGAGCTGAGGGTTGGCATTGCATGGCAGGGTTGGAGCCCAGGAGTAGCTATTGGGGAAAGTGCAGCTCAGTTGCATCAAGAGACTCCCATAGTTTGGGAGGTGCCATTACCATGGGATAACTGCCAAGGACAGAAACAGCCATAGAGTAAAGCCAGCCCGAGCTTAGGAAGCATTTTGTATGTGCTACAGAGGGCAGAGCTGAGGAAAGACACTAGCCCCTTGCAGGAGCCAAGAAGATCATAAGTGAATCGCAGATAACTGGACATTGAGTTATTTACACTGTTGAGTTTGGGTTGCCTTTGTTCACATTGTGAGTGTGCCCCTGTTATCCCCTCTCGAAGGAAGTATTTAACCTAATTTTGATTTTTACAGGGTCCCATAGCTGAAAGACTTTGAACTATTAAATGTAATTTTGGATTTTTAAAGAGATTAGATTATATTAAAGAGGTTATATTAAAGACTCTGAAAGGAATCCACATCTTTTCATTTTCTGTGGAAACAAAATAGAAACCCTTTTCCCCAATAACTTGTCCTTCAACTTAAATTTTGGAGTCAAAGCATTATTTTTAATTTAATTTATTATTTTACATGTCGATCCCAGTTCCCTCTCCCTCCTTCCCTCCCTCCCTCCATCCCTCCCTTCCTCCCTCTCTCCCTCTGTCCCTCCTTCCCTTCTTCCCTCCCTTTTACCCTCTCTGCCCTCTCACATGCACTCTAAACACCCTCCCCTCCCATTCCCCCACCCCAATTCCATATGTAGGGGAATGCCATCCAGTTGGGGTCATGTAGATCTGACAGGTCATGTGAAGTAGGGACTAGGGCTTCTCTCCTATCTCTAGATTAAGGCAGTTATCCCTCCATGGGGGATATGTTCGTAAAGTCCTTTTGTGCACCAGGGATACATCCTGGCTCCACTGTCTGAGGTCTCTTAGACTGCTCAGTCCTTCTGGCTGAGACCCATATTCAGGGGGACCTGAGTCAGTCCCATGCTGGCTTCCTAGCTATCAGTCTAGTGGCCGTTAGCTCCTCCTTGTTCAGGTAAGCTGTCTCTATGTGTTTCTGCCTCATGGTCTTGTCCTCTCCATCTGCATCTGGGTTCTAGTTCGACTCAGTGTTTATGTATGGGTGTTTGATCCTGTTTTCAACAGGCATTAATTGAGGGCTCCATGGAGAAGTTAGTTGTTGATCTCACTCTCCGGGAAGGGCATTTATGATAGCCTTTCCACGGAAGCTGAGATTGTTAGTTGAGAGCAGTCTTGTAGTTCTCTAGACCTTTCTTTGTGTTCAATTTTATCTTCAAAGCAATATTGGCTCCCTCTTTTATGTTCTCTCTCTGTGTCTCTGTCTCTCTCTCTCTCTTTCCTATCTTCTATTCCTAACCAGTGAGGATTGTGGTGTTAGATACATGATACCCACGAAAGTAAGGAGCAAATCCAGAATATCCGAAAATATCACTAACTTTGTATGGCCTTGAAAATGCCATTTCAACCTTTCCTGAAAATTAAGAAAATCCATACTAACGGTTCTCACTTAGCTTGAAAAATTACTTTGTGACACTTGTGCCAAGTGTTTTATATAATTTACACAATTATTCCTCCTGACAATTTTGAGGCTATTAGTCTCATATTATCGATGAGAAAAAGAAAACAGAAATTTAGGTAATATATAGGCTATTTGGAGGGTGCACTGAGGACAATGGGTGTCGTAGTTGCGAAGCAAATTCGAGTGGGGATAGGAAAGGCAGTATGTATGAGTCACTGTGCACAGTGACTCGTCTGTCCAACAGTTAACCTCCAGTCCTTAGTCTATCTTCTGTTGAGATACTATGTACTATGTATAAGGGAAAAAACAAGTGCCTGAGGTGAATGGAATGAGGAAGGGGAAGGGGCATAGGAGAGGACAATTAAGGGAGAAACGTCAGGGAGAAAGACTTCATATGTAAAAGATAGCAAAAATGGACCACCCAACTGCTACCAAGCAAAAAAAATATAGTCACGTGCCCAGCCCTGATGCAGAGGGGGAGCATCCTTTGCTCCTAGAATGTTTCTCATAAACGGAAAGACACAGCCTCCTTTACTATAATACCCACCTCCCTCTCCTCAGCTCTTATGTATACAAAGGTAGATGATAACTGAACTTTGTAACCTCAAGCCAGAAAAGTAATTCTCCCATGGAACCCAAATCCCAGAAGAAACACATGTTCCAGGAATATCTCATTTTAAAATTTTATGGGACGTTTCCTCTCTAGAGATTTTACTTCCCATTGGAACATGCATTATTTTCTCGGACATGGTCACTGGGAGACCAGAACTGGGTCCCTGCCTTACCCCTGTCCATCCAAGCAGGGCTGGCATGTGTGATATGCCCAGTAGTGCACCTGACACAGAAGGCCTTAGCAGTTGGACCTTCTTGCTCCCTCATTTGGGCATTTTCTCTCTGAGTCTTCGTTTTCCCTGCAGTAGGTAATATTACCTTAGACTCTAGGTTCAGGTTTACTACATAGTATAGAGGAAAATGCTTTCCTGAGCGAGGGCAGACACCCAACTTTTGGACTCCCCACTCTTCTGATGGCAACGAGAAAAGTCCTTGCTTCCTTCTGGAGCGCATCGTAGAACAGTGCATGTCCCTTGCCTCGGCCTGGACTCACCTTTCACCTTCCACAAACCCTCACTGTAGCCCTTTGAATTTGTTTCCAGCTGTCCGAACAGGAATTACCAGATTGTATGTTTTGCCACAGAAACTGATACTTGCTTGTGCTGTCCCCTGGATACCTTCCCCTCTCCCTCCTACTCTGAACAACTGAGCGCAGTTAATAATTATGGATGGCTTACCCCACAGGTGAAACATGTATTTATTTGGGAAGCTGGCCTTAAGCTCCCAATTTTAACCAGCATGTTTGCTATTGTCCAGCTACTTTCCTTCATCTCTTTGAAATTTTACATTTCACGTTTATAACTGTGGAATCAATTTTCCTGCCCATTAGTCTGTAAGTTCTGTCAGAGCAGGGATCACATGTCTGTTCACGCTTCTGTCTCCAGCACACACTACTTCTATGTACATTAGGAGTTTACCAAGTCCATGGGAATGAATGGCTGTGCAGGCAAATGATTGTAAGGGTCGCTAGTTATGTATTTCACCTCACGTATTAGATTGCTGCAAAATGTTGAAGAATTACCTCTCAAACTTTGCCATCCATGTATGGCTCATCTAGGGATCTTATTAAGATGTGAACTCTAGTTCAGCAGGAGCCCATGATTCTGCAACCTCAGTGAAGCCAGGGGTGCTGGGGTGTGCAATAACATACTTAAGTAGCAATGTCTCAGAGCAGAAAACTAACATGGAATCACTACACAGAACTTTCGAGTTCCATAGGGGATGATGCTGTTTTCCTGATTGCCATTTCCCAGTCCACATAACCCAGTGTTCTGGAAACAGCAAGACCATCACTCATTCCGTCTGCATTACTATTATTACATTTAACATTTTCCCTGTGGCCAAGGGGCAGTGATTCACAATGTCAAAACGCCACCCAGGCTCCACTTTTACAAGACATGGTATGTATCACTTCCATTTTTATTTATCGGTTTTACCTTATCTTTTCTTTCCTTTTGGAAAGGCACCATTTACAGAAA